ACATGAATCTCCCTTTTAAACGTCCCTTTACTTCTTCTCTAACTTCATTGATTTTCTGGGGTTTGGGGCGATTTCTACCCGATTTGAAACTCAATTTGATTTGATCAAACTCATCACATTGCTGCTCATGTTTCTGGCCCCATCGTACTTGCGTTCCCAGATTTCAGTAATGACTTTTGTGATTGCAATATTATCAGAACTGAAACAACGGTCACAACTACGGCCATATAAGACTCAGACTTGGTGTTAGAATAGAATTACTCTTCAACAATGTGTAGACTTTTGGATGTTGTTCTAGTCAGACAACACTTGGTAAGATGCACATAATTAAAACTTGACATGGTACTCAATGTTGTCAAAAACAAGGAGCAACTTTACCAGTTCTTCCCACATCACCCACAACTACTTCAAGTCAGCTTCAGGCTACCGCCATAACTGATAATGCATCAACCCTATTCAACCTGTTTCCTCCAACAGTATACCACTTTTATGGCTCGCCACAAACCACAGCATGTAAAAACAGGTGAAGTGCTTGTCGGGTAACTTTGAAGTATCTCCTCTCTATCTTTGAAATTCCCAACCTCCCTTCATTGATGCTGTATTACATTACTTTCATGCATTTCCATATTAGCTCATTTGAATTTGTAATATGAAGGCCACCAGTATGAGTTTATCTAAATCAAATCTGATAGAGAAGTTAGAAATTCTCTTTTGACACTAATGGCAAAAGATAACCCAAGCAGAGTGTGTAACCTCAGTTTATTAAGACGCAGCTCCCTCTCCCTCCCAACACACACACACCCACTTCTCACTATCACACTCACACGTTCCCTGTCAGGTCTTCATTTTTAGCACCCGGCAGTGTTACATGGAATACGAGACGACCACCCACACACACACACACACACACACACACACACATGCTGCTGGGAAATGTGAATGACTGTGTCACTAAAAGTGCCATGAACATGCTAAATACAATAGCGCCTTGTGCTGCAGTGGTGAGTAACTCGGAGCTTTTGTGTGTCCCTGTGTGTATGTGTGTGTGTGTGCTTTTTTGGTGCGCTGAACAACCAAGGACAGGCACACACATGTGGGTGCAGAGTGCCTCATAAATCTCACTCTGATTCAATTAGAAAGCATAAATGTGAGAAGTTCTATAGCAGTCGGTGGCCTGGTACACAGTTTAATGCTGGCTTAATTATAGACACACCACACCCAAACAACACTCACACACACCACATCCAGACGGAAAGACAGACACACACAAACAGTGAGGGTGTGGGCGTTATGTAACTCATAATTACACAAGAAACTAATCCAAAAATGAAACTTAATGTTGTATTTGACTGGATTCTGTCTTCTCTTCATGTGCATCTTTCTTTGTTAATCTTTTATTACCCCCCCCCCTTACGTAAACACACACTCACACACAGAAGCTGTCTGCCAGAGTTAAACACAGTATGAGGGAGTTGTCCAGACTTAACCAAAGAGGTGTGTGTCTGTCCATTTGAGTTCAAACACAGCTTCCACTTCTTTTCTTTTGATATGATATAACGCTTTGATTGACTGCTCTCCTATTGAACGTTACCTTGCATGTCTGTGCTAGTATTGCACTCACAGAGTCATAACATCTGTATCTATTGAATGTATGTAACTGTTTTCTTTGCTTCTTCTCCCTTTATTAGAAAACTACAAGAGAAGGTTATGTTACTGTAACCTTTATGCTACCATTTCTCAAGAGCGCGGTAAATAAGACGAGATGAATAGGCGAACCAAATATTTGTTCTTAAAAACTAGATCAAATTTCCCATAATGCCAACAGAGGTAGTTTGAGACAACATACTGCACTGTGCTACATGCATAATTCAAAGTACAGCACTCACACATTCCCTACCTCCTTATTGTTAAACAACCACATTTGAGAAACCATCAAATGTCTGCTGTGTTTTCTTATAAAAACAGCTTTTAAATGGCAGTCGTTGCAGTTTAATTTACTCAGAAAATAGAGGAATTTTGCCATTACTAATTCGAATCCTTTTAGCCAGATCATGACGGATCCACAACATGAATAAAAAAGGGTGTAGTAAGTCTACGTGTAGTGACTCAGTCCACTCAGCCCACCTACATCTGTCTGCACTAAACCCCACAACCACAGCTATTACTCCATTACAGCAGGACATTCCCAATATGTTCCAATGAGAAATCTCTGCCAGGCACTTACTGTTCTTTTACACCTATGTGATAAATGGATGAAACCCAGATTAATATCACACGTGCATTGCACACACACCACAGAGTTGTACACACACACAGCATGGGAACAACGATCACCTGTGAGAAGACACACATCTGTGAGGGACAGCGAGAAACCATCGCTCATATAATGCAGTTCCAAAACAGACTCTGTCGCCCACTAATCCGCCCACAGACCATCCATTCGAGCTGGAAGGCAACAGTTGCTTATCATCAGTCAATTTATCTGGAAGTAAAAACCTCCTCCGCAATGTGTAGAGGAAAGAAGAGGAGAGGGGAGAAGAAGAACACTAAGACAAGAAGAGAAATGCTGAAGCTATTATTAATTCATTTAAACGGATTCAATTGATGTCAGTGGCCCCTTAAACATTGATGAGGCAGACATCTTTGAATGAAATGTCATGCTTTTTTTTATCAAGAATGACAGTTCTGGCTCGGGATGTGCACTGAAATCCTTATATATGAGAAAGATCACTCTCACAGCGGATCACTGGATGACGGAGGATGCGGAACTGGAAGTGTGAGTTTACTCATTTTCCCCCAGTGGGTAGAGATACGTTTACACACAGAGTTGATGCCCTGAGCTAGTAGAACATCATGTTTCACACTGTTTCTCTCATGCATATGCAATCACACTTCCATTGACACTCACAAATATTATGTCGGGATGCATTTAATGATGTTTTCATGATTTGGTCTATTAACCAGGTCATTTTTAAGTCTAGAAAACATCCAAAACAATGCAGAAAGGGACACCTTCAAATGTCTTACTATATCTCATCCACTGTCCAATACTCAAGAAATATTCAATTTACATGGAAGACATGTTTTTTTTTCATTCAGTTCAGAGTAGATTCATTATTTAAGGGTATTTCTTCCTAGAAATAACTAGCAATCCTTTACTCCAGCAAAACAGTTGGAGAATTAGCTGCTTTTTCTTGACATATTTGAGTATGTTTAGTCCAACACAAAAGAGGAATCACGAAACTGTGCTTCAGAAAATATCCGCAGGATCATCAATAATGGAAAGAATTGTGGAATAAAGCCCTACCTTCGCATTTCAGTTGTATAATTGGTAGTGGGACAGAAAGAGATTGATCCATGTCATTGATTGGGTGTATCACTATGATGTGTCAATGTTGCGTGTGTGTGAATATGTTGGTGGTTGATGGGATGTTTTTGACCTATAACTCTCTCACACTCACTCCTCCACATTCCCCACAGCGTATGCAGTTCTGTCTTTGTGGCCTTTCAAGAGTCAGTGTGTCCAGTCGAGCTCAGGTGTACAGCAGACAAGATCCTCACACACACACACACACACAACACACACACACACACACACACACACACACACCCACACACACACACCACACACACACACACACACAACACACACACACACACACACACACACACACACACACACACACACACCACACACACACACACACACACACACCACACACACACACACACACACACACACACACACCACACACCACACACACACACACACCACACACACGATCATCATGGTTTGTTGCTCTCCTAACGTGCCATACTCTGACTCATTGCTGCTATTCTTCACTGTCCAGTAGTAGTAGTAGTAGGTAGGTGTAGAAAAAGACTAAAAATTACAAATATTCCCACATGCACATGGAAGGTACTGACATTCAATGATTAAACAATTGCATGTGAAAGAGATTAGAATCACTGTCAGCATCAAGCAGAAGAGCACAGTCTAACTTTGTCACATCCTTCTATTCTTGGAGCTTAGCACCCTTGCAAACGATGCAGACATATCATTAAAGAAAGGACATTAAGCTTGACTGAAGATGTGCTCAACGTGTGTGTGCGTGTTGCGTGTGCGTGTGTGTGTGTGGCATCTATTCTAGGAGAATTCCCAGAGGGGAGACCCTGTGACTGACCCCCACCTAGCAGGATCTGACAGGATATCACCAGCTTGGCGCACACACACACACACACACACACACACACATACACATTTATAAATATGCACATACACACAGAAACAAACAAATGATGGGCGTGTTGAAGTGCATACAAACACAGGCAGTATGTTGGCTAGCCACACCTAGGTTTGAGTTTAATGTGTTTTTAAATGCCTTTAAATGCATTTCTTTGTGTTGTGTAAACTGGAGAACTATGAATTGCTTTTGTTTAAAAAGGTGCTCAAGCAGTACAGTGACGTAACTGTGATTTAAAGTCAGATGTCAAGCTTTTAGACTCAAATTAATATGATCCTGGTTTTCTAATACACCGATAACCTTTAAATACTCTCCTCAAAGTATATCAAGAAGAAATTCTACTTGATGTGCTTAGATTCAAATCACAACTTCTGCAACTTTCTTGAATCTGGACAACAACACATGGCTGGATTCAGGCACTTGACTCAACTTGAAAAACCAAGTTACCTGTGCTTACTTCAAGACCAGCTTTCTTTAAGCCTCCACTCACATGAGTTTTTGGCTAGTTTGCCCAGTGAGCAGGTTGCCCTCTCCAATGGTCCGATACAATCTCCAAACTTCCTGTGACACGACAAGAGGATCCCCCTCTCCAATGCGCACAGACACACGCACGCCCTTACAGAAACACTCCAATAAACACGCCCTAGTTTAAAAAACCTGCAGCTGACGATACAGGCGGAGAACACCGCGCACACACACACGGTAAAGTTTCCAAACAGAGCGAGGAGAAAACACAGATTTGACACCATCTCTTACCTTTTCCTCCCCCGCTCCTCACTGCTCCTTCAGCCGTCTCCAAACTCTGTCACGACGAGCCTCGCCGCAGACTGCGAAAACCAAAACGCCGCTTTTCGGTAACCGGGGAGCAGCGGAGAGTAGCCTTCACTCGTTTGCTCCAACATGCAACGACTCCGTATGATTCAGTGTGTGTGTGTGTGTGTGTGGGAATATGTGTGTGTGTGACAGCTCATGGAGAGAATGAGCAGAGAGAGGAGAACCGGGGAATTTAGGGGGAGTTCCCGTTAACAGGCAGGCGGGGCGGGGGCTCCGGGAGAGTGACAGGCGGGAGAGATTGTAGGTTCTCAGCTCATTTCTGGAGTATTTATTCTTCAGCATGAGGTTAAACGGTGATAAATACATTTACCCTTGATTACCATTCACCTCTTTTATGTGTTTGTTTATGTATTTGTTTGTTTATTATCTTGTTGTTTTATGTTTTTGTTTGTTTGTTTTTCAATAACAAATGTATTTCTTTAAGAAAAAAAAATATATATATGTTAATAATTTAGTTTTGGGGAGAAGGGGTGGGATTAAATAAGTGTAAACTTCTTCCCACCCCTTTTTTGATGTGTAATTAAGTAGATCATTTGTTTATATATAATTTACAATCAGTAATATTTGTGTAGGCTATATCAATTTGACACTGCTTCATTTTGTATTATTGTTTTTACACATTCGAAATAAATCTAATCAAATCAAATCAAACAAAACCCTATTAGTGCATATGCAGCCAACTAGAGTCTATTATTGTTGCATATAATGATAAAGCAAGTGGCTGATTTACATGGTATTATTTGCCCAAATGTTTACTATAATTTTCTGAAGGCTAGCCAATGTCAAAGGTCATCATTTTACAGCAAGGTCACATGGCATTGCTATAAATTAAAGTTGCAACTGACTTTATTTTCATTATTGATCAATATGATGACAACTTTTTCAATCAATCTATAATTTTGCTATCATAAATAAGGTCAAATCTGTCCAAAAACCCAGACGTATTTTATCCTATATTAGAAATGTAGGGGAAATAGAATATTTATTTTATTTATTTTACCTTTATGTAACCAGAATAGGTCTCATTGTGATTAAAAATCTATTTTTCAAGAGAGTCCTGTGTGAATATATTCACATTTGAGATGGTGGAACAAGTCAATTTTGGTGCGTTTGCCTATAACACATAACATGAACTTATTAAAGTGGTTGTAGAATAATTCTCTGCAGTTGAATTGTATATTGTAATGTTTGAAATATATTTTCCTTCTTAACAAAATGATCATACTTCTCAAATGTACAGCTTTGTGGCAGATATGATCTTCCCTTCAGTTTCACCTGCATATATAAATCATCTTTTCATACAAAAGGGTGAGGAAATATTTAAATGTTTAATATATAATCTAGAACTGACATAAACAGCAGGATTTCGAAATATGTCTGGTTTTAGCTCAAAATGAAGGAGAGTACTCGTAATCTGGCTAATACCGTACATTTGAGATTCAGGAAGCTTTTATGGATTATATTAGGAAGTAATGGAGACGGCTACTTCATATGTTGATGTATGCGCCTCTCTTGAGTGTAGCTTTTTGTATAGAGCGTTTTCTTAGCCCTCAATGGTGCATGAAATAATCGATCTGGTTGTGTGATATTTATTGCCTTGGGCTTCCTTTAATGATCAATGAATTATTAATTATTAAAAGATAAACACAGTGTTCACATCAGGCTGCAGGTTTAAACACAACTTATGTGGTGCAAGTGCAAGATTTCTGTGCTCAAAATGTGAGTTTCTATGGAGACCAGACAGTGGAGTAAAAGCACGGAGAGCACATCCTCATGCAGCTTCAATACGGATACAATAAGCAGCAGTGACTTCAGGGGGAAAACGCTGCCTATACTGCAGGTTGGTTTGTTATTAGTGTATGTTTTGTTAAGAGAAAGTGATGGCAATCTTATCCCATTACACATGCATGACCTGTGTCCTCCATCAATGTTTTGAGAGGGGGTGAGAGCACCGGCGCCGCTTGATCGTGGTCATGAAACCACAGTTTTAACGGATGACCTAAGAAGGGGGGGGAAACCAGCTAAAAGAGGGTATGGGTTGTGGTTGCATCGCTGGCGGTGTGAAGTTACCATGCCTGATGAGTGAGAGTGAGACCTGCTGATGAACGATGTGCGCTGGATTTGATTTAAAGCACCCCAGCTCTTCACACACACTCACACACCTAGGATCCCCCTCCAAATCCTGTCTCTAACAACATTACTATCACAAGGCCCGCATCACATGACAAGAAGGGTCCGTTTGTGCGTGTGTCGTTATACTTCTTGGACGTGTGTGTGTTCGTGCGTGTGTGTGTGTGTACAGGTTAAAAATAAACACTAACACCCAATTAGTGGAGGAGTCTGTCCAGGAGTTACAGAAAGAGGACGAGATAATAAGAAGCTCCCTATATGTTTAACCCATTTAGGATACAGAACAAGTCCCTGATGGCAGCAGAGAGCAGAATCCGATATGACCCAGCATCTCATTTAGTTTGCCAATCCCACAAATACATGACCACATGTATTGAACACAGTGAAGAGCAGCTGTAAACTGAAACATTACAGCTTCAGTTCCCCCAAATCAGTCATGAAACCCACACATTTTCTCATTTACCACTCGTGGTAAGTGGTCTCTCAGAGTGAATTGGATTTTTTTTGCACAGCTTTTAGATGCACTATCTTTCTGGTTTGTGTTTCTTCCCCATTACTAATACATATTGTTTTGCTCAGAGCATTGAACGTCACTGTAAAAATAATATATATAAAGTGACATAACTGTCCAGAAATATTTTTCCTGGTGGCACCCGCTGATCCTCAGACCTCATCGTTGACAGTTCATTGGAAATACTTTCTACCAAGTTACTCTTTATAATATTGGACAGTGAAGGCTGTGGTTAATCCAGAGTAACAGTAATAGTTTGTTCCTTGAAAGACATGTTGCTGTTCAATGTTTTCAGATGCTGTTAGCACCACAGTTTCGTATAAACGTAGCGTACTTCCTTACTAGATCAGACAAAACCAAACTGAAGTCTTAAGAATGGTAGCTAAAAAGTTAGACTTGCAAGTGATGGTAGCTTAGTCATTTTAGCCAGCTCATTTTGTAACAGTAGGAGAGCAAATGTAAGTCTAAGTCAGTTGTTTTAATAGAAATAAATTGCTAGCACTACTTTGTGAAACCAATTACAGCTGAAGCCATTTGTGACAGGAAATCTGAGGAGCAGAGCATGAGCTTTATTCCAGAAAAAAACACCTTGTCTAAATGTAAAAAAGACCAAGCCATCCTGGTGAGAGCTGAAGAGAGAGGTGGAGGACAGAGGGCTGGAGGGGTAAAAAGGAAAGGCGATGATGGTGCTGACACATCCTGACAAAATGGAACAGGGAGTCTCACTCAACACCTCACACACCAACACACACACACTCACTACACGCACGCACGTATATGCTGTACATGAGAGCTTGCACCTACATCTAAGCTTCTGCTGAAAGCAACAGATGCCAGAAATACAGCGTCGTATAGAGCCAAGGACAAAGAGGTCACTCACACTTTCACACATATACAACACAGTCTATCTATCCGGGCTGAATCTGGCAGACAGAGGCGAGCTTATTATGAAGCCACAGTTAATAAAACCCTCGACTGCCCGTGCATTTTCACAAGGTGAGCCTTCTCGCCTCGGATGTGTGTGTGCTCATTATCAGCTTGAGCACCCGCACATTTGCATCTTTGTGTGACCCTGTGAGTTGGGTTCTCTCTCCACAGGGAAATGTCAGTGAAAGGAGAAGAGTTTTTATTAGTGTTACATGAAACCAGCTGTCTAAACTGGCCCCCATCTCCAGACCAAGAGGCTATCTTCCGGTCTTCAAGCTGCCGCCAGACTCTTCAGCTGCTTCTCAACATCTCGTAGTCCTCCGCTGCAGCTCCTGTGTCCAAATGCTCTCATCCCAGCCCGTATGAGGCACTCAAACTACAAATTAGCTCAAAGCAATCCAACCACCACAGATTCAAGTGCTGATAAACTGGCAATCACTTGCATATTTGTAGTGTAAATTCTGAAAGTGACCCCGAGCCATATGTGTGAGTATATCTGCCCATTTATCTGTGTATCTGCTCTGGTTGCTGCCTACTGCATCAATCACACCCTCTCGCCGCCACAACAGCTGCCTCTTGTCATCGTTGCAGGGCAGCAGCTGAGGCGAGGGGCGGAGTGCGAAACCGCGTTTAACAGCCTCGGTTCTGGCTGAAGGGAACGCGGGGAGGGGGTGGGAGTGTTGGTTAACAGCACATCAGGATCCTATTTGGACCGGAGTGAGGCTCCTGGGAGTGGGACGGGCGTCGGCCGAGTATGCCATGAGAGGAAGAGGAAGGTCATGTGAGTGTGCGAGTTCGTCTGCATGAGTTTTTATGAATGCATGCTTAATCATGGCTGCTCTGTTTAATCTGTGCAGCCGTCGGAGCCCTGCTGGACCGTCTTCGATGTGGTTTGTTTTTATTTGCCGCTTTTTATAGTCGTGGTGCCGTTGTTTGTGGGGGTGTGAGCGCTGCAGATCTCCGCAGCAGAACACTGAAGCACTGTCATCGCGCACTGCGGGGTTAAAGGTCAGGGCTGAGGCATGTGGGCTGTCCACATCAGGCCTTGTTTGACACTTCACCTTTGACCTCTCGCTCCCTGCCAAGGCCGGCTGCCAGCCTGATGCTTTTTCCAGACTGTGGGGATGCAACGACCGAGGAAACTGGTGTGCTATCTGTTGTTGGCTTCACTGAACGGAGCTACACCATCAGTCTTCTAAAGTGCCAACCCCCCCCCCCCCCCCCCCCCCCCCCCCCCCCCCCCCCCCCCCCCCCCCCCCCCCCCCCCCCCCCCCGGGCCTGTTTGATGGCTGCTTCTGGCCCATGTACTTGACACACAAGAACAGTCTCAAAGGAAAAAATGAGTCTGACAGAAGCTAGATATGAGCTGGAGTTGGTGGTGGAAAGGTTTGGAAATAAAATGGGGAGAGAAATTGTGAAACCGGTGATGAAGAGCAGGTGAAATCGTTTCCAACCTCTACAACTGAATGAATTATTGTCTCTCTGAAAAAGCAGAGACCAGATCATAGCAGATGTTGTTTTCAGTTTCACTATCTCCTTCTCTCATTTACAGTA